ACTCGGGAGGCAGAGCCAGGCGGATCTCTGTGAGTTCAAGGCCAGCCTGGGCTACCAAGTGAGTTCCAGGAAAGGCGCAAAGCTACACAGAGAAACACTGTCTCGAAAAACCAAAAAAAAAAAAAAAAAAAAACAAAAAACAACAACAACAACAAAAAAATGATAGGATAAAAGAGTAGATTATTGAATCTACTTTAATCCAAAAGACAGATATTAATCTCAAAATTTTACATTGTATGGATTTTAGTTTATTGATACAAATTTAAAGTTAATTTTGTTATACTGTATGCATATTTCTACTCTTGCTTAGGGTATTATGTTTATGCAGCAATTAAAAATGTAATATGTAATTAAGAAATACAGATTAATAGTCATGTATAATAGTCCAATTTATGGTCATGTTAGGTATGTTTCCAAGGTAATAAACATATATTTAGATAGCTAGATGGTCTTCACTTCAAAGAAGTATAGAATATGGCATTTAATATGTTTAATAACCTAAGGATTTTCATGGCAGCAAGACACATCCGTTCCTGACAGCACCAATTTACTTCAGAAAAGATGATGGGCATCAAGGTACCTCCATATGGAGTTTGCTTTCTTTATGGCAAAAGCTGGCCATCTGGGCAAAGAAACTGCCCTTGCCTCGCTCAATTACTGACAGTATACTGTCCAAACTGGACCAGCAGGATGCAGACAGAGAGCCAGAGACATGCAAGGATCTAGTTAGAGTTACTATTGCTGTGATGAAACACCATGACCAGAGCAACTGGGGGAGGAAAGGGTTAATTTGACATACACTTACTTCCTGATCACTGTAGGAAGTAAGGACGGGAACTCACATAGGGCAGGAACCTGGAGGTAGGAGCTGATGCAGAGGCCATGGAGGGGTGCAGTCAACTGGCTTGCCCCACCTCCCCCAGCTTGCTCAGCCTGCTTTTTTTTCTTTTTTTTTAACTTTATTTTTATTTATTCTCTGTGTCTTTCATATCATGCCTCCTGGTCCCACGCCGAGCTCCCTCCCCCACCCCACCCCCAGGGTAAAACAAAATAAAATTTAAGAGAAAAAAGGAAAAAAAAGGGAGAAAGGGAAAAATCTCAACATGGAAGCTGCAGTGTGACAAAGTGAGTCACACAGTAAAGCCTGTTCTCCATCCATCTTTACATGCAGCCTGAACCCAGGACCAGCAGCCCAGGGATGGCCCCACCCACGATGGGCTGGACCCTCCCCCATCAATCACTCATTAAGAAAATGATCTACAGGCTCTCCTACAGCCCAATCTTATGCAGGCATTTTCTCAGTGGAGCCTCCCTCCTCTCCGATGACTTTAGCCTGGGTCAAGTTGACATTAAACTATTCAAGACAGCAAGATTTGATTTTCTTCTCTGTTTTTTGAGACATGCTTTCATCATGTAGTCTAGGAACTCATGATCCTCCTGCCTCAGCCTTCCAAGTTCTGGGGTTACAGATGTGAGCTGCCATGTCTAGCTTTTCATATTTTCAATCAAAGGTTGGTAGAACCCACACATGAAATCCCTGGATACAGACAACAGCTGTGTTTAATATTTTTAAAAACTGATTATGGGGCCTGGAGAGATGGCTCAGAAGTTAAGAGCACCGACTGCTCTTCCAGAGGTCCTGAGTTCAATTCCCAGCAACCACATGGTGACTCACAACCATCAGTAATGAGATCTGGCGCCCTCTTCTGTATACATAATACATAAATAAATGTTTAAAAAAAAAACACCTGATTACTTTTTTAAGTATATATATGTGTGTTTTGCCTGATTGTATGTCAAGGTGTACCACATAAAATCAGATGCGTAATGAAAATTCGTGCTTTTTATGCTCACAGAACACATTTCTGTACAGTGCCAAATAGCCCCCAGAACTACACTGAGCCATCTTGTAACAGACACAATACCAGACAGCTACTGACATCATAATCACTTTCTTAAGGAAAAGGTCCTCCCCAAGGGTAAAGAACAAAGAACCAGGCACCTGTCTGTGATGTGCTGGGATGGGGAGCATGGTACATGACCCCGCTGTAGAACTGGGCAGAGACTGGCTATTTGGGCACCCCCACCAACTTTTACTGGGTTGTCGAAATAGACAAATGTTTGCTATTATTGTATCTTCCATGAATAAATATTTATTTAGACATATATCTAGACAAGGTCTCTACATAGCTCAGGCTGTCCTGGAAGTCACTATGTAGGCCAGGCTGGCCTTGAACTCAAAGATCCACCTGCCTCTATTTCCTGAGTGCTCAGATTAATAAAGGTATGTTTTTTTTTTGTTTTTTTTGTTTTTTTTTTTTTTGTTTTGACTTCTCTGTTTAGCCCAGGCTGCCCTAACTCACTCTGTAGACTAGGCTGGCCTCAAACTCAGAGATCTGCCTGCCTCTGCCTCCCGAGTACTGGGATTAAAAGCAAGAGTCACTGCAGCCTGGCAAACTTTATATTCTTTTTGTTTGTTTGTTTTTTTCAAGACAGGGTTTCTCTGTGTAGTTTTGGTGTCTGTCCTAGATCTCATTCTGTAGACCAGGCTGGCTTTCAACTCACTGAGATCAGCCTGGTTCTGCCTCCCAGTGCTGAGATTAAAGGCGTGCACTGCCGCCACCACCCGGCCACTATTTGTATTTTGGAGATAAAATCTGCTGTCTGTCTGTCCATACTTCTGTATATAGGTGTGGTTGTTCTTAGGGCAGATTACTCACATTACTGGCATGCCTTAATACAGGTGGTCTAGCTAATCCCTCCTGGATTTTTTGGGATGAATCCACTTATTCCTCTGTGCATATCTACACACACACACACACACACACACACACACACACACACACACACACAGAGCAAAAAACCCAGATTGAAGACCATGGTTCAGCTGTCACCCAGCTCGCTTAGTCTACTGTCACTGTATATATTTAGTTTTCTAATTTAAATTGTTTTTATTTTTGGTGAGAGGGGAGAGGGGGGTGGGGAAGACAGACTGGAGATTGCACCCAGAGTCTTGCAAATAGCAAACACTCTACCACTGAGCTGTATCTCCAGGTCCCCTAGTTCATTCCCCCTCTCATCCCCTCCCTTCTCTGGCAATGACTTCTTGCCTGGTGACAAGGCTTTAGTCCCAGATCCATTTGTCCCCGGTGTTAGAGAGGGGACTCCTTGATGCTCCTAAGCCTGCTTCTTCCACTCTGACGTCCTGAAAGGGGGCCTCCCCATTCTCCACTAGATTTTTCCTTCCCACCCCTTCCTCCTTCCTTCCTTCCTTCCTTCCTTCCTTCCTTCCTTCCTTCCTTCCTTCCTTCCTAACTAAGGAGGATTCTAACACCCTCCCCAATCCACTCTTCCCAGCTCGGGGCTCCACAGTCATGCAGGGAGAGGATGATAGGTCAGGTCGAGGATGCTGGCTGCCAAGAGGCTTAGGATCGTGTTAGTAATTACTGTAAATGGAGCCCACTAGGTGGAGGGCCTGGCAAGCTGCATGAATGGGTGTACAGTAGTGGGAGTGGGAGGTGCTGGAACAGAGCTCTAGACATTTGCACAAGGGAAGGAATCCCTTGTTTTACCTGCTAATGTTCTACACCGAATGGATACGTACTTAGAGAATCATGGCTAGTTCTTAGTTCTTCAAAGGCGAATCTATAGTTCTCACTTTACCCTCTACTGTGTAGTTTTTGGATTCTCCCTTCTATACAGTCCACTTACAAAGCAACCCCTGAGAATGTGACTGTCCTCTATCAGTGACACAATATATTTCCTAAGGACAAGGCCTCTGGCCACCCTGGGCCCCCAGTTTGCAGCTGCCACTCTGGGCCCCCAATTTGCAGCTGACCTTTTCGAATGTATTCTCCAAACTCTGCAAGGGCGGTGGTGTTGGATTTCTCATGGCTGAAAGACACGGTGGGTATCTGGATGGCACCTGTCAAGATTCAACAGTCAGAGATGGAGGATTCAAGTTGATAGAGGTTAGATGTTTCTAATAAAAATCTGAAACCACTGGGTATGGTGGTGCAGGCCTTTAATCCTAGCACTCAGGAGGCAGAGGCAGGCAGATCTCTGAGTTCAAGGCCAGCCTGGTCTACAGAGCAGAGTTCTAGAATAGCCAGGACTACTCAGAGAAATTCTGTGTCGAAAACAAAAAGTCTGAAACCATAGCTGGACGTGGTGGTGCACACCTGTAATCCCAGCACTTCAGAGGCCAAAACAAGATTACAAGTGAGTCTAGGCTGGGATAGCAGGAAACTGTCTCAAATAGAAGATTAAAAAAAATTGAAGTTCAAAACTTTGAGTGTCAACATGACATTAATAAAATTTTGGATTTTAGAACACTTAGGTTTCATCTGGAAGACACAATCACCTCTAGTTAAGGATCAACTTTGTCATAAGGAGGAATTTTTTTTTTCTTCGAGACAGGGTTTTTCTGTGTAGTTTTGGTGCCTGTCCTGGATCTCACTTTGTAGACCAGGCTGGCCTTGAACTCACAGAGATCTGCCTGGCTCTGCGTCAGATTAAAGGTGTGAACCAGGCCCGGTGGTTGCACACACCTTTAATCCCAGCACTCAGGAGGCAGACTAGGCAGATCTCTGTGAGTTCGGATCTCTGTGAATTCCAGGCCAGCCTGGTCTACAGAGTGAGTTCCAGGAAAGGTGCAAAGCTACACAGAGAAACCCTGTCTCAAAAAACAAAAAACAAAACAAAGCAAACAAAAAAGGCGTGAACCACAACCGCCCAGCTCCAAAGGGGGAATCTTAAGTCCAAAAAGATTAAACTGCCCACCTGAGGGCAGATCCAGCATCTGCATCTTGTTGAAGAGGTCCACTACCCCATGCTGTTACGAGGTCGTGGTAAACTTTTGTTTTCTTCTGTGCAAAGGGACTCTGCCGCAGCCCACCAGTTTGCAGAGGGCTGCTTGCATGATGGGAAAGCTCTTGCCAGGCCTGTCACTCAGGATATGCACAATCCATCTCCCACGGAGGGGCTAGCATTTGGTCCCTGTGTTGGCCTGCACATGTTTGCGTATGCAGTTTTTATTAATCCACTATTCCATGACCGGAAAAGAGGAGTTGAGCCCAGTGGTCACAAAGCATCCCATGAGCCCTGTACACAAACGATCCTTTCCTCTTGAAAGGCACAGACTTAGGCCAATGAGTTAGTTGCCTTGTTAGGCCCTCGTATTAGGGGGCAACTAGATACATATTACACCCCAAGAACAATTCATTCCCCTCAGAGCCAGGGAGTTCCACTGCCTCTAAAATGTTGCTACCCACCCAGAGCCGCCCAGTCCTTGCCGGGGCCCATTTAACGAAGCTAAAAATGTTGCTACCCACCCAGAGCCCCGTCCTTGCCAGGGCCCATTTAACGAAGCTAATCAGTTTAAAGACACCGCGGAGATTTAACAGATATGAAACCCTTCACAAGTTGAAAGTGCTACAAACACTAATTGGAGGCAGGCAGGGATAGAGTGAGTGCGGGCTCTGCCAGGAGAGCAGCCGGAGCCTCCAGGCTAGGTAAGGGGACACCGACGGGGGGCGTGCCAGACCCGTGCACCGTGTGCCGGGACGTGTGCGGGAACGCTGACTGGGCTGGCCGGTTGCGGGGTGGCACACCGAATGGAACTCTAGCCTGAGCAGTGGTGGGTCCTGCAAAGGGTGACAGTCCCGGGCTGCCTGGGGACTGAGGGACCCACATCTGAGCACAAGGGGGCGGGGACTCACCTTTCAGTGCCTCTTTCACAGCGACGCGCTCCTCCTCGCTGAACTGGGGAGGGATCCGTGACGCCCCGCTAGGGTCGGTGCATTCAGAGACGGTGGCGAGAAAAAGCAGGAGTGCAGCTGCCAGCGCCCGCATGCTAACGCTCAGTCCAGCCATACCTTCTCTCCCGGGGCGCCTGCTTCTCTCCCGGGGCGCTTGCAGTCCGGCTGGAGTTTGGACTTAAGAGCCCAAAGCCTGACTCGCCGCTGACCAATCATCGCTTGGCCTGGATGGCAACCAACCAATCAACAGGACGACCCCGCCCCTGCCCCGCAGAGCCTGTAGGGGTGTGTGGTTTCCCACAGTAGGCGGGAGTAGAGTCAGGAAGCGAACTGTGAAGCAATACTATGCTCTAGGCAAAGGTTAGGGCTAGTTCTCTGGTGCTTTGCAGTACTGTGAATCTTTTGCTGAATGAGAGGAAGCCAGTTAAGTGGGCGTGTAAACCAAGTTTATTAGAGCTCAGTCTCTGTTTAGATTTAGATTTTGACTCCTAGTCCCTAGGGATTTCGGCTTTAATTTCATCTAACACTGCAACAGAATGTGCTTTGACGTACCAGCTTAGGACAGTTTGCTCCTGTGTAGGGATTTTGCTGGCGCTGTTTTGAACCTTTTCTTAGCATAACTGAACACAATAATGTGCAAAGGATAGAATCTACCTGTAGTTGGAGATGGTGACCTTGTTTTCTCCTCAAGGGTTAATCTGGTGCGACAGGTCCCTTCCCTGTAGTTTTTAGATTTAAGCTTGCCTGCCCCGGGGTTTTTCTTTAAAACTCTCAAGCTTCCATGTGCGATGGCTCTTAAATTCTTTTATTAATGACACCAAGAACCCCAAGAGGAGGTTCGAATTTCCCAGGTATGACAGCTCTGCTGGGATTCCGAAATTTTAATTCTTTTTTGTTTTTGTTCTTGTTTTTTCGAGAGAGGGTTTCTCAGTGTAGTTTTGGTGCCTGTTCTGGATCTTGCTCTGTAGACCAGGCTGGCCTTGAACTCACAGAGATCCGCCTGGCTCTGCCTCCCGAGTGCTGGGATTAAAGGTGTGCACCACCACCGCCCGGCTCCTTTTAATTCTTAATTGACAGAAAAAACAAAACTTGGTCCTGTACCCCTAGACAGCATCAGATAGGTTTCATTATGACACTTTATACATGTATATAATGGATTTTGATCAAATGTATTCCTAACCTCTGTCTTCCTCTCACGCCCACGGATCACCTTGTTATCCCAACTAGTCTGCCTCTGGTGTGTGTGTGTGTGTGTGTGTGTGTGTGTGTGTGTGTGTGTGTGTGTATGTGTGTGTGATCCAATGAGTTTAATTAGGGCTACTTGAGGAGCATGGGCAACTTACCAGTGACAACTCCTCTGAAGAAAATTTCTGTTCCTTTCCAAGCAACATTGACCGCTTAGACCGCTTATAAATTCTCAAGAAGCAGGGAGCCTGTATGAACCCCTTCTCCCTCCATGACAGAATCTGTATAGCCCAGTTCTGTGCAGACAATCTGCTGAGCATTCAAAAATACAAAGGCCATGCCGTGCCGGCAAGACAGCATTCCATAGCTCACATCCCTTCCTCCAGCTCTTATATTCATCTTTATAAACAAATTTCTTACAGGTGTGTATTGTATTTTGAACATAAATATCTCCTCTTCATTACTCTCTACCTTCCATTTTCTTGTTTCTCTGTCGCATTGGTCCTGTTGTTTTCCTAGACAATCCTCAGTTCTTTCAGTCAACACATATATGATTTTTATGAGAACATATGGAATGTAAGAACCACAAATGAGGGAGATATATTTATCTTTCTGAGATCGCCTTAATTTGCTCAATATGATTACCTCCAATGTTAATCCCAGCAATCAAGAATAAGATCACTACCACAATTCAAAGCCAAATTTGAAACAAGTTTTAATTAAATGCCGGCCAGGTGGATGGGCTCTGGCCAAGTCCATACCCAAGTTCCCAGGAAATAGCCTAGAATCAAGGATGGCAAGGGCTTAAGAAAGAAAACTCATAATTCATTGCATTTCCCATCAGGTCCAATCAGAGACAAGCATACATCCTGACGGATATCCAGCCTACATCCAATCAGGGGCAAACGTATATCCTGACATTTTTTTCTACCTTTGAACCTCCCGCCCACAGGTGATCAAGCATATCCAGTGTAGATGGATGTTTAGGGGAGTGAATAGCACATGACTTGTTATCTCCCATAAACAATAGCCTCCAAAAAAAAATAGCTTTCAGCATTTCAGGAACTATCTTTCCTTGGTCAAGGGGCTTGCAGATCAGAGACAAGTTTCTTGGATCTCTAAGGCATAGTAATTAAAACTTAAAATGTAACTTTGGCTCTCACACCAGGTGTATCCATTTTCCCACAAATGATGTAACTTCATTATTTATGGATGAAAAAAAATCCATTGTGTGGAGTACTACTCAGCAGAGAAAAACAATGACAGCATGAAATTTGCAGGCAAATGGATGGAACTAGAAAATATCATCCTGAGTGAGGTTACCCAAACCCAGAAGGACAAACATGGTATGTACTCACTCATAAGTGGATTCTAGATATAAAGCAAAGGACAATCAGACCGCAACCCACAGAACCAGGGAGGCTACATGGGGGGGGGGGACCCTAGGATGACTGTGGCTTATAATAAGTTTTGGTTTTATTCAATTACTGGGCAAGCCTCAATGAAACATTTCACTATTAGGATAAGAATTTATACTGTATCAAGTTGATAATAGAAAAATAAAAAAATTAATAAAAAAAAAGAAAAAAAGAATCCATTGTGTGTATATATGACACCTTTTCACCCATTCGTATGCTGTTGGACACCTAGGGTCTGTGACTTAGCTGTTAGGAATATTGCTGCCATAAGCATTGATGAGTGTCTGTATAATCTGTTGATTTGGTGTCCTCTGGGCAAAAATGCTCATGAGTGGTATAGCTAGACTATGTAGTGATCCATTTCTAGTTGTTTGCTTATTATCAAGCCAGGTAGGGTCCCAGCACTTGACGGGGAAGTGAACACAGGGTCTCACTCCTAATCAAGAAACTATTTGCAACTGATCCCTGCTGGCAAAGGGAAAGCCAATTTTCTTCTATGGAGTGATCCAGGACAGGCCCCAGGACAGGAAACAGTTAACCAACATAAAATAAACTCTGTGTGTGTGTGTGTGTGTGTGTGTGTGTGTGTGTGTGTGTGTGTGTGTGATGTTTTGGCAAGCATATGGGTGGGTGGGGTGGGTGCATTTCTTTGTTTAAATGTTCTTTTGCTTGCTTCTTGCAATTTTCATATTTATTGATTGATTGATCGAGACAGGGTGTCTCTACATATCCCTGACTGGCCTTGAACTCACAGAGACCTACCTGCCCCTATCTCCTGGGATTAAAGGTGTGTGCCACCATGCCAATTTTTTTGGGGGGCCAGGGGGAAGGTGATGGGGAAAACCAGTGCAGTGGAAACTCCTTGGAATCTATGAGGTTGACCCTAGCAAAGACTCCTAGTAATGGTTGGTTTGGGCTCCGTATCTCCCATTACTAGGAGTCTTTGCTAGGGTCAACCTTCCCCCCGGCCCTCTGCACATATGTTATGTTTGTGTAGCTTGGTGTTCTTGTGGGACTTGTAACAGTGGGAGCGGGGTGTGTCTCTGGCTCTTGCCTGCTCTTGGGACCCTTTTCCTCCTACTGGGTTGACTTGTTCAGGCTTCGTATTAGGGTTTGTGCCTAGCCTTATTGTAACTTTTTATGCCATGTTTAGTTGATATCCCTGGGAGACCTGCTCTTTTCTGAAAGGAAATGGAGGAGGGGATCTGGGGGAGAGGGGAGTTGGGGGGAACTGGGAGGAGTAGAAGGAGGGAGGGGAAACCAGTCAGGATGTAATATTTGGGGGAAGAATAAATAAAAAAAGAAAAGAGAAAAAAAAACCTCAGCGAAATTAAACATAGAGATAGAGAGAGCACATGAAGTTGGGTGGGTAGGGAGGTAGAAGGGAATTGGAGAGGAGTTAAGGGAGGGGGAAGGAATGTGATCAGAATATAAAAATGTATAGGAATTGGCCGAGCGGCAGTGGCGCACACCTTTAATCCCAGCACTTGGGAGGCAGAGCCAGGTGAATCTCTGTGAGTTCCAGGCCAGCCTGGGCTACCAAGTGAGTTCCAGGAAAGGTGCAAAGCTACATAGAGAAACCCTGTCTTGAAAAACCAAAAAAAAAAAAGAAAGGTATAAGAATTAAGATAGAAAATTAGATTTATTTATTTTATATGTATTAGCATTTTGCCTACATGTTTGTGTATGCACCATATACATGCTTGGTGCCTGCCAAGTTAGAAGAGGGCGGTGTCTACCCTGGAATTGGAGTTATGGACAGTGTGAGCCACCATGTGGGTGCTGGGAATTGAACCCTGGTTCTCTAGAAGAGCAGCTGGTGCTCTCAACCACTAAGCTATCTCTGCAGCCCCTATTTCTAGTTTTTGAAAAACCTCCATAGAGCCGGGCGGTGTTGGTACACGCCTTTAATCCCAGCACTTGGGAGGCAGAGTCAGGCAGATCTCTGTGAGTTCAAGGCCAGCCTGGTCTACTCAGTGAGATCCAGAACAGGCACCAAAACTACACAGAGAAACCTTGTCTTGAAAAACCAAACCAAACCAAACCAACCAACCAACCAACCAACCAACCAACCAAACAAACAAACAAAAGAAAACTTTCATAGAGATTGGACTAGTTTATCTCATGGACCATATGGTGACGACCATTGCTGCTTGACTAAGTTCCAGCATTTTGGACTTGTGGATCACAATTCTCCAGTACTCTTTTACTTTCATTTTTAATAATTTTCATTATTATGCTTTTCCATTTAGGAAATTTTGTGTGGGCTTTGAAGCATGAAAATGTATAAAATGACAGCCTCTTCAACAAAATAATTCTTTGGAAAAAAATCCCTGCTACTGTGGAGCCATATAGTGTGATAACTCTGCTTACTCCCACACAAATTAATGCCAAGGTGCTAGAAAATTCAGATAAGTAATACAAATAAGGTATATTTGATAATCAAGATTTATAAATTCCTAAGATCTACTCAGGTTCACAGTAATATTTGTCTAGCTTCGTCTTTGCTCACTTAAGTTTTAGCTATTTGGATAAACTGAGCCACATAAAGAACTGCAATATTCTTTAATGGAATGTCTGATCCCCCAAGAAGGCCCCTTTCCCAAGGCATTTAGACAAAAGTTCCCATTCTCTGAGGGGCTTCAAAGTTCCTGCTTGCTAAAAAAGGAATCATTCTTATTTTTGGCAAGAAGAACTTAATCGATTTTCTGCAACCTCCCCCTCCCACCACACACACCAAAATAGGTTTCTCCAGTGATGCAGTAAGCCAGATCAAGCCAAATTGTAAAAGTATAACAGGTTTATTTGAGCAAAGCAACTCCTGAGTGTGTTCTCCAGTCCCAGAGACTGAGGCCAGAGAAGCAAAGGAAAGCAGGGAGACTTTATAGGTTGTAGGCAAGGGGTGTGATGTGTCTGCCACAAGCTGGGTTTGTGCCCAAATATGGTCAAAAGCTGGGTGCTTTAGGTAGGGACTTGGGCAGCCTGCAACTTCAGGGGAGGAAGCAGCAGTAGCTGCTAAGAATGTGGAATTGGGCTTTTTGGTGCCTTTCCTTTGTTCAGAGCCTCTCTGAGTGGGCGGGGTTTGGAGAGAGAGAGAGAGAGACAGACAAAGAGACAGAGACACGGGAATGGGACTTCCTGGATCATGCAGGGGTGAGCTGGAGGTTCCAACTGAACAGAACTTTTGGCCCTTCCATTAACATATGACTGGTGCCTATTAACTTGTCAAGGATTAACTTGTCAAGGTCAATGCTAGCTTCCTCAACCCAAGATCACAAGCCACACCCCACTTTCTCTCATTTAATCCTTTGTGGAATTATAGAGTATAAGAAGGTGTAGGCCCCGGGCGGTGGTGGCACACACCTTTAATCCCAGCACTCGGGAGGCAGAACCAGACAGATCTCTGTGAGTTTGAGGCCAGCCTGGTCTACAAAGCAAGACCCAGGAAAGGCGCAAAGCTGCACAGAGAAACCCTGACTCAAAAAAAAAAAAAAAAAAAAAAAAGGTGTAGTTTGTTTTTCAATAAACAGGCAGTCATCCAAGTTCACCCTCAGATTGTGTCAATCTTCTTCCCGTCCATGGCTCCACACCTCCTCTTTGGGACCTGAACCCCTACAGGAGCTGGACTCTAGCAAGTTTAGATTTCCACGAACAAACGTTTTAATGCGGCAGCTCTGTTTTATTCTTTAAGTGGCGTTGTTACCGTGCGGGAAAGGCCACAAGGCACGACAAAACCCACTGTCAGAGCTTTATTAGGAGAAGGGAGGGACAGAAGAGAGCGTGACCAGGCCTGAGGGAGACATGTGCACAGAGAGAAGGGGGAACGAGAAGAGAGAGAGGGGAGGAGTCTGTGACCCGATTTTTATGGATTCCCCTGCACATGCGCACATGGGTTTATGGAGCTAAGCCACGCATGCGCATAGATTGCTTGATCATGCTGTGCTCAATTTATACGATCACACAGCATATGGATTATGTAGGACGTATGGCCCCTTACTTGGCTACTGAACTGCGTATGTGTGGTGGTATAGCAGGGTGAGTAGCTGGGAATTCCAACAATGTTGATTCTTTTCTTTCTTCCTCCCTCCCTTCCCCTTCCCTCCTTTTCTTTCTCTCTCTCTTTCTTTCTTTTTCTTTCTTTCTTTCTTTCTTTCTTTCTTTCTTTCTTTCTTTCTTTCTTTCTTTCTTTCTTTCTTTCTTTCTTTCTTTCTTT